TGTTTAATTCCTGCAACAGGCAGAAGGAATAAACTTGAGGGACAGAAGGAAAAGCCGCTACCAAGAGAATGGTCAGATAAAAGAAACCTGAGTCTAGGGCAGAACTGTAACCCGAGTAAGCATGTCAGGCAAGATCCTCCCTAGTTCTCACAAAAATAAAGTGGAGGGGTGGGGGCGGGGGCGGGAGTGCATTCAGACCTGCCAGATTGTTACGATAGATCTAAAAAAATAAATAAAGTAGTATTAGCCTACATGACTTCAGTTTCCAAATCGGGTCTACCTCAAAGGGCTGACAATTATTAACTTAAATACCATAGAGAAAATCCTTTCAACAGCAAGAAAAGCTTTGAAGGAGCTTCTTCAAAGATTCTTGATGAATGAGAACATGCTTAACAATTCCAGAGGCAAACCTTCAGAATGTTAAGTCAGCAACTGCTCTATCTTAGCTTGTTTAATGGAAGCTCTACTTCAGTCCATTCTAGAACAAGACAGAGGACCCTGTAGTCCAGAATGGGGCCATATATATTTTTGATGGCCACTTTGGACATGGTTCCAAGGTGATTCAACTGGAGAGCCCCACTGAAGAGGCCCATAAAGCAATGCCATCCACCTCCACTTCTACAACCAAAAGGAAACAGACATGTTCCTTCATTTAGCCTCACCTCTGAAATCTTCTCCAGCATGTCCAAAAATTAGAAGAGGTTTCTATGCATGTTGAACTGCCAGAGTTTCAAAGGGAGGTAAAAGCCTCAAATGGAACTGTGCCCCCACTTCACCTGTGTCTCTGTGAGGCAAAGCACCACATCAAGAAGAAGCCAAGTTGCCCCACATAGGCTGAGCTCAGACTTAGAGAATTCAGAGCAACCAAGTTTTGAAAGTCCTGCATGGCCCACCAATCAACTTCCAGCATAAGCTCAAAGGCTACCACAAGTGGTGCCTGTAAGGGTTGGTTTACCGACTGATAAAGATTCAGGAGATAGCTTGGTAAATAGAGAGTTGCAAAGTTGTCTGTTATCTGCAAATGCCACTTCACAAGAAAGTTGTTAAGAAGAATCAGAGTACATCTCCACCCTAAGGTACTCCAGGGGATAAATTAGTTCTATGTGAGATAGAAGTCAACTGCAGAAATTCCTATAACCCTAACTTTCTGAGCTTCATGAATCTTGTTAGCAAGGCTCTATGAAATGCTTGGAAGAGTTGCTTAACCAAGTTAAGTGTTCAGTACAAAAGAAGCCATTTTATAGATACTCAACAACTGAAACAGATCCAAGTTGTTCAGTTCCATCTGCCCCTTGAAACCCTGGCAAGGCAAGTGATAGAGAGGCCTCCTGTTCCCAGTCTGATCCACAGCCCAAAAGAATACAAATCAGAAAGGGATTTTCCTATCAGAATCGACTTGTAAGAGTGTTGGTGTCTTAAGACGAAGAGCAAACTGTAGTCTACTTCCCAATAAATAGGACGGTAGGAATGCTCTAACTTTCAGGACCCCTCCAAAGGATCTGACATGTCCAAAGTCATGGAATTTTGTTTCTGAACATGATAACTGCAGCGAGATTATTGTATGCACCAAGATGGAAAGATTCGGTATTATCCACCATGGAGGAATGGTTGGTGAAAATGATGGAACTTGCTGAAATGGACAAACTGACTTCTTTGACTAGAGAAAGGACAATATCTACATTTATTGCTGAGTGGAAACCCCTTATAGACTTTTTGTGTGAAACAGGAAAAAATAAATAAATGTATGGTTTATGGTTTGGATTATTCGATAGAATGGCTTATAGAAAGAAGAGAGGTATGTTGTAGCCATAGAGTAAGAGGTAAGCTTATCATTGTACTTTGGAAAATTGGAAACTACTTCTTTGTACCTTTTTTCTTTCTTTTCTATTTTTGTTTACCTTTTTCTTTTAAAATCTTATATAACTAAAAGGAAGGATCTGACATGACCCAGCTTCTGGGAAGCCTGCTGCCCATGTCAAATGAAAAACCACTGAAAGGACTCCATGACAGGTACAATTGCCCTTAAAAAGAAAGTTCCTTGTGATTTCAGAGCAGCAAGTCATTTCAACACTAACACTTGGGGAAAGTTGCTTCGCTGCTTTTGCCAATTTGCTGAGTGAAGCAATTTTCATCTTGGGCTTTCTCAGGCTTCCCAAAGGACAACCCTTCACTGGTGATGAAGCTCCTGAGTGCAACCAGGTTTGCTTGCAATTTCTACTCCCTTGCCACTCACACAAAGAGAGTATGTTCATCAAGTGGTTTAAAATTACGTGTCTGCAAATGTGTTGTGACCAGGCTAGTCATTTTTGCTGATGGATATAGTTAATTGTCTGATGTTTTTTAGCTCAGTTACTGCAGGGCATCCAGTGTCTTAAGAGCAGGGCAGTTTATGCATTTATGGAAATGCGTCAATTAACGGGCTCAAAGGAAGTGCATTCTGCACTTGCTCAGGGGCACTTTCATATATCCTCATTTCCTGTATCTCTGGGTGGGGCTCCTGCGCAGTAAACAAGGAAAACGTAGATTCAGTTGAAAAGCCTTTATAAAAACAGAGCTCAGCACTCAGTTGCAATCCACCGCTGTTACCCTCAACATCCAATTGATTGGATTGAACCCACTAGCCTAAACTTGTAGTTGGTCCTGTCTGCCAGCTCTGCTAAAGTAAGACCTTTGGGAAACAAGAAGACGGGGTCTTAAAAGAGAGTGCTAAAAAATAAAGATTTCAAATTCTGTTTCCCATCCTACCTTGCCCAGAAATCAGAATGCTGGCTAAAGGCTGCAATAAAATTGCAACTGAAATAAAGTAAACAATCAAACATGCCCAGGCAGGAAGGTATAAACATTTCATAGGAAATATTTTGCAGATCAAAACACTCAACTTGCCACCTTACCCAGGATGGGACATCTTGTTGGGTCTTAAGAAGTCTTAACAAAATGGCTGGTTCTGCACCCCTTCTGCACCTCTCCCAGCAAAGGGCTTTTTTAGGTTAGAAGCTGGGGTCATTGTAGGTCAAAGGTTACTAAAGTTCCCCGAGCAGCTGCTGAAACCAGTATAGCCAGTGGTGAGCTATACGTCTGGCCCTGGATGTTGCCCAGAGTAGGGCTACCAGACTGGGCTGCATTTATAGAGTGGGCCACCAGGTGGCAGCCAAGAGGCACTACTGCCACCTAACGGACAGCTGCATTTTTGCAACCTAGATCCCAAAAACGTAGTGTTTGGAAACCAGGCAGGAGAAAACACACTATTATTCTAACTCTGCATTAATGCGAGAAACTCCCCCACTTCCGTCAGCACCAGCAGTTCTAGAGCCCCGAATCTTTAGGGGAAGCCGGTCCCTCAACGCCCGTAAACCCAGCCCCTCTCCTATCCATTCAACCTCTCATCTCCCATTCCCCAACCCACGATATTCCAATAGATCCTGGTTTCTGGCAATGTACGGATGCAGCCCAAACCACGCCGTTCGTTATACCTTACCAGGATTAAGCACGCTCCTGGCAAGCCTCGGAATATGTTCGTACACGTACGTGCGAAGTTCCGATTTTCAAAAGAGCCCAGCGCGCCATCCGTGTATTTAATACGTCGAGAACTTTTGGCCCCGGCAGCGTTGCTGCCCCGAAGCGCAAAGGTGGCCCGTTCTTCAGCTCCCCTCCAGGTTAGACCACAGACAGGATCAGTCGGAAGCTGCGCGCCTCTTAACTAAAGAACCGCTCGTCTTTGCTAACTCGGCTTGACTTCTCCGCTCCGGTCCCTCAAGCACCCGAGTAAAAAGGCGAGTCAATTACAGCGCGGAGGGCGACCCGCCTGTTTTCTCTGGGGGTCGCGGGCGAGAAGGGAAGACCCCGGTCGGCCAGAAAGAGACATCGAAAGCGGCCGGCAGGACAAGCTCGGAGCGCGCCAAAGCTGCCCCCCAAGGCGCCCAGCCCACCGGCGCGGCTCTCTCCGCGCGCGCCGGAGCCTGGCGAGCTTTAGGGGCGGGCTCGGGGTCCAGGTGTTGCGGAAGCG